CATAGATGAAAAAAAATTACATAGATTAAAATTAAATCATAATTTTAAATAACGTTGAAATCAAATTGACGCAGAGGATATTTACACATAAACAGATCACAAAAATTTTTATTTTATTTTTGACAGGGTTAATAAGACATTTAGTATTTGAATTTTTAAACAATGTTAATTTTTATACTTTTTTCAAGATCAAAGATAAAACACATACTAATATGAATGTTTAAATTTAATGCACGGAATCCATGTTTTTCAACAATATGAAGATTGTATAAAAATAAAAAAAAAAATGACCCGATCGGAGTCGAAACGTCTGAATTTGTATTAATATATAAATTAAAATAATTAGTTAAATTAATTTTGCTCTACGCCCTATTTATATTTTTATATATGGTATTATTTAATAATATAAAAAGAATACCTCTTTGTTGGTATAAGAGCAGCTCTTCATGCTGCTGTTGTTGCTGCTGCTGGTGTTGCTGCTCCAGCTGCTTCGGCTGCTGCTGCTGCTGCTGCTGCCGAGGCTGCTGCTGCTGCTGCTGCTGCTACCGGGGCTGCTGCTTCTGCTGCTGCATCAATTGCTCCTCCAACTTTTTTTGTTGCTGCAAAATTTGCAGCAACGTTTTTTGGATACTATCCATTGTTGGAGGAGACTCTTCTAAGAGTATCCTTTCAACAGCATCAATTACTTCTCCTAAAATAATTAAAAGAATTATGCAAAATTATATATTTAAAATGAAATGTATGATTAAAAGATGCGTAATACTTACGCGACATGTTGAAAGTAGCAAGCGTTTACGGCTGTGAAATTGTCACATAGTGAAATTGTATTCGCACTTGCATATGTCACCAGGGACGACGTAGGAAATTATTAAATTATTTAAAAAATAAAAAATTGTTACATAAAATAATCTCGGACATCGTCCTCCAGCTCTTGGATTTCACCACCGGGCACTGGGACGGACGTAGGAAATTTTTGATCGCGCGAGCGGCGCCCGCGCGCGTTCCATATCATACTTCGTATGTGTGTACGGTGCCTTTACGGGTCAGCGAGGGAGACGAATTTTTTTTTACTATCGTCTATGATCTCGGACATCGTCCTCCAGCTCTTGGATTTCACCACCGGGCGCTGGGACGGACGTAGGAAATTTTTGATCGCGCGAGCGGCGCCCGCGGGCGCTCCATGTCATACTTCGTATGTGTGTACGGTGCCTTTACGGGTCAGCGAGGGGGACGAATTTTTTTTTTACTATCGTCTATGATCTCGGACATCGTCCTCCAGCTCTTGGATTTCACCACCGGACGCTGGGACGGACGTAGGAAATTTTTGATCGCGCGAGCAGTGCCCGCGCGCGCTCCATGTCATACTTCGTATGTGTGTACGGTGCCTTTACGGGTCAGCGAGGGGGACGATTTTTTTTTTTACTATTGTCTATGATCTCCGACATCGTCGTCCAGCTCTTGGATTTCACCACCGGACGCTGGGACGGACGTAGGAAATTTTTGATCGCGCGAGCGGCGCCCGCGCGCGCTCCATGTCATACTTCGTATGTGTGTACGGTGCCTTTACGGGTCAGCGAGGGGGACGAATTTTTTTTTTACTACCGTTTGTGATCTCGGACATCGTCCTCCAGCTCTTGGATTTCACCACCGGGTGCTGGGACGGACGAAGGAAATTTTTGATCGCGCGAGCGGCGCCCGCGCGCGCTCCATGTCATACTTCGTATGTGTGTACGGTGCCTTTACGGGTCTGCGAGTGGGACGAATTTTTTTTTTACTATCGTCTATGATCTCCGACATCGTCGTCCAGCTCTTGGATTTTACCACCGGACGCTGGGACGGACGTAGGAAATTTTTGATCGCGCGAGCGGCGCCCGCGCGCGCTCCATGTATACATACTTCGTATGTGTGTACGGTGCCTTTACGGGTCAGCGAGGGGGACGAATTTTTTTTTTACTACCGTTTGTGATCTCGGACATCGTCCTCCAGCTCTTGGATTTCACCACCGGACGCTGGGACGGACGTAGGAAATTTTTGATCGCGCGAGCGGCGCCCGCGCGTGCTCCATGTATACATATTTCGTATGTGTGTACGGTGCCTTTACGGGTCAGCGAGGGGGACGAATTTTTTTTTTTACTATCGTCTATGATCTCGGACATCGTCTTCCAGCTCTTGGATTTCACCACCGGGCGCTCGCCATTCGATTGTGTTTGCACCTTTACCTTTTGTTTTGTAACGATTCGACATACGTTTATAATTTTCGGTCACATGTATATACGAGTGATCGTCAATTGTTTCGCTCCAAGAACGATCCAAACTTCAATCACATATTTATTAGTTACTTATTAATTACTGTCGATTAATCACACACACATTCGTCACTTAAAAAATCACTCGAAGAACGGAATACACATGATTAACACAACGCTAATATGATACTTATTGACTCGACGAAGTAGACGATCGATTTTATTGGTTATGTTTATACTATCGCGGCCGATAAAAACACGAGGTCTGTTCTTTATTCCTGCACTAATGAATTAGTGCACACGGTGTAATAGGTTGAAGTGAAATAAATATACGTTTGTTTTTTTTCTGTGTCAGTGGAAACATGTGATACCTAAATTAAATTTATAAGAGCAATGGAAGTTTAATTAACATAAACATTTGTTTGGAGCTGTACGTGATCCATCGAAATGGAGGTTTTTCTCTTTTACTGCAACGTGAAGTCACCGAATTTTTACAAGGTAATTTTGTGCGTGCGTGCATGTGTGTGTGTGTGTGTGTGTGTGCGAATGGGAATGCGATTGCATATGCTCATGCGTATGTAGCGATTATCTGATCGCAGCGAGGGATCCCCCGTACCATTTGCCTCGGACAGTGAGTTGTGCCGCCCCTGGCTACCTTCTCTACGCGCTCAGTCATTCGCTAACTATTTCTTGTTATAATTTAAAAACTAATCTTCTGACAACATTTTCGCAAAGGAAAACTCGTCTTAGAATTAAGTCAGGAATATGACATTTCAAGGATACTATGTTCATTTTGAATCACCCTGTAGATAATTTACTTACTTCGCTTGTAGCTAATTGATGTAAAATTAATATAGCTGTTTTATATACCGATGGTTGACTATTCTGGGTAGCCATCTGTCGACAGAGTCGAGGTATATGACCCAAAGATGGTACTTGGTCTGCCAAAGTAGGTTGCGCTTGGAGTAAACACACAAGAGCCTGCGTCGTTAATTCCAACATATCCGTCTAGAAAAAAAATTAAATGCAGAAATATCCTGGGTTAAATGGCCAAATTTGAAATACATATTTAGGACTTCAAAACAAAGAAAAATTTTCTCTGGAAGAATTCTCGCAAACGCTTTGTTCAAGAGATATTTACTTATTAAGTTACTGAACTGTAGGATTATTATAATGTCGAAATGTCGCTTTTTGCTTTGTTTTGAAAGTCGTAGATCGTTGATAGGCTTATGTTCGCAATGTAAACAAAGCTCCTTTCATCAGAGAGTCGTACGAAATAATTAAGTTATTACTTATAATACTTCTTAAATTACAAAACTATAAGAAGAAATAAATATCGAAATAATACAGGTTTAATTTCTTTATTAAGATCCAAGATGCAATGAGCATCAAAAAATTGTTAGATTGTTAGTCAATTTAACTCGTGATAGTACTGCAGTAGTTCATTAGTTTGAGTTGTAAATCTGAAAAAATTTCGACGCGCATTTAGGGATCTACATACGTAGAATATAAATTCACACGAAAATTATATTAGAAGCATCCAAGATCTAGCTTGACCATAAATGACTTATTCTCATCGGTATAAGAATATTAAAGTAATATTTTCATACGCGCGTTAGCACTACATAGTTTATTATTACACTTACATTAGTCTTGTCCTTGGACATTAATGTAAACGTAGTATCCATCAACTCACTTAAGAATTCTTTTGGTTTCCTAAGTGCCCAAGCAGGACTGGCTATAAATAATCGAAGATACACACCACCTACGACAGGTTCATTCGTCGCGATATCGATGTTACTTTGCGTATCAGGTAACTTTAATATGGCATTAGGATTTCGCCTCTGTAATGCATGGTATCTAAAAGATAAATAATAATTAACATCCACACATTACCAAAGAAGGAAAAAAAGAAGAAAAGAGAGAAAGAAGAGAGAAACCTAATATATTAATTTATAAAGCTTACTCGTCTTTTAATTCTGCAATAATTTTTGCTACTCTAGCTTTTGCATCATCATCCCATATCAATTCAGGATTTTCGTGCTGTGTTTCAAACATATGTACACATTGCTTAGGTGCATCGCGAATAGCTTCGCTAAATAATCTAGGTAAAAATTTTGACAGATCAAGTTTAACTTTTGGTCCAGCTAATTTATCGGATGACATTTTTGCAAGTAATTCAGCCGCTTTTTCTCTTATATGAATATTACTTGAGTTGCAAAAGAGATCAAGAATGTATACAACAGCTCCTGAAACACACATTACGAACATGTTCATTATATGATCGATAAACCTTCAACTAATTTATAAATCAATGTTAATTCTCCATATATATTCTCTATACAGTTATGTACAAACCTTTTGATAATGCATCTTTTACAATTTTAGTTGAACTCATCAGGGCATACAATGTTTCCAATGCAAGAAGCTGATACTCTTTTAAACTGTGCAAACATAACAATAAATACACAACAACTTCATTTGCAGCAATATCGTCAACACATTCTTGATTCTTGGTAACATTACTGATTACTTCTAGAGCGCTCTTTTGAATCAATTTAAAATTACTACAGTTCAAAAGTCCAAACAGCAATTTAAAATGTCCCATACACTGTAATTCAATGCCAGGATTATTTTTTATAATATTATTCAGAGCTTTAAGCGCCATCACAATGTGCTCCAATTTCTCTTGATCCTTTTTAATCGAAATAATACTTCCCAAGGATGTTAAATATTCCGAAGATAGTGACAGAAATTCGAGCAAGTTTATTGTAAAACCTTTGGGATTCTGAAAATCAAATAGATATTTCCAGAATTATTTTTATCATACAATGTACAGGAGAAGGTGATAATAAGAGCCTTGCTAATAATGTGGATTCTATTTACAATTTTGTTATTATAATATTAATACTATCTCTTACAAAAGATTTTTTATCTTAATGGCTCTTTGCCTTTCTTTATATACATTGTTTTATACTTATAGAGCCTTATTAATTTTATTATTTTTTTATCTTATTCTTATAGATAAATATCAAAGTTGTGAAACTTTTGTCGCCACGACTAGTACAATCCTTTTTTCAATTAATGTTATTGTCTATTACAAGGTATATCAAAATTTCTTCGTTTTTCAATATTAAGTTTAAAAGCACAAAAAAAACAGTAAGGAAATAAAACGTAAGCACTAAACGAATTGACCAATAGAAACAAAAGGCAATAACAAAAACAGAAGTAAATTCAAAATGTTGATTCTCTTACTGCTTACATCTCACTGCTTAAAATGTTTTAGTAGTGTCTCGCGCCAAGTGAACGTGCAGCGCGAGACGCACTGTGCCTCTTTTGTTTACGCGAGTCGGCAAGTTGCAAACAGTCGAGAACATTGGATCTCAATAACGGCTGAACCGATCAAGTTCTACTTACGCTCAATCGAGCATAAGTCACTATTTAAATTGTACAATAAAAGTGATTTTTTTTTTTACGTGCTCTATGAAGGGACATATCGTGATGTAAAATCTAAAATGTATATAAAATTAAGATTCAGATACGTTATCGCCTCAAATTTTGGTTTTCTTTTCATATTTTTGCCATCAGACGCAATCTATTGACTGCACTAGTTCGAATTAGTGCAGCCAATAGACCTTTTCATAGTTCGAAATGCGCAGATGCGAACATGGGTGGGAGGATCGACCAAGTCCGGGAAAGTTAAAAGTTTCGTACAGTTTTGTACGCTTTACATTATGGTTTCATCATTTCCATTCGTAAAAGCAAATATTTTCCCTCTTGATGTTCCTGGTGCTGTGTTAATTTATAATTCAGTTCAAGAACACAGCGTAGAGCAATTAAAAAGATGGTTGAAATGTAGGAAGCAAAAAACAAACGGAAAGAAATGCGAATTAGTTGAGAGGTTATTTAGTCTTTTATATTTTTAATACGTCCTATAAAACAATATGATTATATATTATGAAATATTATTAATATTACATTATATAATATAATATTATAAATATAATAATATATTATATATATTATATATAAAGATCTAATAAGATGCTATAGGCATCAAAATGTGGTTAAATTGATTCTCAATTTAACTAAAGTGATATTACTGCGGTAGTGAATATGTAAGCGTCAATGCTGAAAATCCATCAGCGTCGCGGGGGGACTACATACGCAGTATATAAATTTCACACAATATAATGCTTTGTTTCGACATTACCCTTTCTAAATGACAGGCACGGTTTGGGAAACGAGATAAAATAATAATTATCAGTTTTAAAACTTTTTAAGCGTGTGTCACTTTTGCATAAACCATAACAGCAACGTTTTGTTGTTCCTTTTCTATCATTTGTGCTTGCCATAATTAAGAAAATTTTTTTTTAATAGTAATCGATCTTTTCACGTGTATTTTTACGAAAATGTACGAAAGTCCACCAGGTGAGGCTAGGTTTGTTTGCGCAGGCGCACAATTTTTGCTTGCGATGAAAAGGTCTATTCAGCTAAAAAGATCATTCTGTTGCATATGGTTCCGCGTTTGACAAGTTGACAGCATATTTCACGTTGTCATTTATATGACGCTGAAGCTAGCGGTCACTTTTAGCGGCCACATGTGAGACTAGGAGCGAATAGCAGTGCGGGGCCAATTATAAAAAATAGAATTTATGACGTATTTCCATAAAAAATTCATTGAAAATAATAATTCACAATACGATGATAAACGAGACAAGATTAAGTTAAAAATATTGAAAATAATTATATAAATACATTACAAAATGTATGTATAAATAATATAAAAAATATTAATATTATTGCTACACGCATGGTGATAGACTTTCGGAAAAATTCTAAAATGTAGTTTAATACACGAGGAAACCGAAATGCAATATAATTTTGAACATCATGCCCTCATTGTTTATTTAAAAAATGTTAAATAACACAGGCCCACAAAAAAATTGTTATTTTTTGTGCGATGAATGCTATGATATTCCCATGTATTTTTTCCCGCTGAAACCGAATCCGTAACCCGTTTGACCCCTACACGTCAGGATTTTTTTTTAATCTAAAAAAAAATAGTAAGATTAGGGAATCTTCCCCCAATGACCTTGACCTTGACATATGTTGTCAAGGTCATAACCCTGAGTAACCTCCAACAGATTTTAGCCATAGACATAAACCATAGACCGAGCGTAAGCTGCTACTATAGACAAGGGGGGATGTGATAACCGACAGGGGAAATATCGGACGAAGTCGGGTAAACTTCGGTTAGATTCGGAAACATTCGGCATGTGTCATTATTTGAATTATCGCATGTGTCAGTATTTGAAAGTACAAAGGTTAGAAGCGTCTGTCAGAAATAAAATAAAACATAAAATATAAAAAATATAAAATTAAAAAAAACACATAATTATAATAAGCATTTGTGATCCAGCTTTGACCGTTATTGGATTCCTTCTTCTTGTTTGCTTATTGTTTATCAATTGTACGGTCATAAAAAGATTCAATATTTGTTAAATCACGTAATAATACATAAGAATTACAGAATTTTAAATACGTGAATTTTAATTTATCATCTTTAGATTTTAATATGTTATTGGCTTCCTTTTTCTTGTTTGTTTATTCTTTATCAATTGTACGGAAGAGAGATTTAATATTTGTTCATTAAAACGTGTTTCTACAAAAATAATACAGATTTTTTTTATTCTCATTTATCACATATCATCACATTTGCATTATATTTACGTTTATTTACAAAAAAAATTAATTAAGTAATATTAAATAATATTTATTTAATTAATTAAATAAATTAAGTTTCAAATCTAACCTTTAAACTGAAATTATTCTTGAACCTGTTGAACTTAAAGTAATAAAGAATGAATCTTGTATTTATTTCTATATATAAAAGAATGCATTTTATAATAATAGATGTTGGATTGAAAATCGCTGAGATTCATACACTCTTTTCTATAACCTCGAACATACCCGAGCCGATCTACGGAAATAGCCGAATTCGTCCGCTGTTTCCCCTTACCCCGTTTATCATTACCCCGCAGGCTTACGCTCGGTATATGGTTTATGTCTATGGTTTTAGCCGTCGCTCGTCCTTCGTTAAAAAGTTATTAACAATTATAGTTTTAAAGTTATGATCGGATCATAACTTTACAGGTCATATGCATGGTGATAGACTTTCGGAAAAAATTTAAAAATGTTTGCTTATTTTCTTAATGTTCCAGACATTTTAGAATTTTTTCCGAAAATCTATTACCATGCGTGTGACCTAATATTCAATGAATATTTTCTCATTTACTAGACAAAATATCTTGATTTATTATTATTTTCAATATAAAATGTATAGTATAAATTACTTTATAATTAATTCCAACCCAAGTGATATATGATGAAAGTGGTAAAAAAAGTTACCTTTTTTTATAAAAAGGTAAAAAAAGGCGCTCATATATATGTATATGCGCTCGTATGTGTGCTCCTTGGAGAGGAAAATTACTTTATTTCAAACCTACTTTTCAAACTATCAAATAATTTTTTTCAAAAAATATGTGAAATCTTTTAATTGACGCAATATAAAAGTTTCATGTATTTATCATAGGTATTCATAATATCTGTATTGTTTCAACAATATATGTATTTTCTGTTTATAATTGGCGCAATTAAAAGATTTCACATATTTTTTGAAAAAAATTATTTGATAGTTTGGAAAGTAGGTTTGAAATAAAGTAATTTTCCTCTCTAAGAAGCACACATACGAGCGTATATACTGAGCGCCTTTTTTATCTTTTTGTAAAAATAGAGCCATAATACTCACGGATAGTCTTAATGGCTAAAGAAACATGAAAAAACTAAATTCTGTAAAAATATAAAGGAGACCCACTTCACCATCACATTCAAATAGTCACATCATCGCGCGTATTCATAGTCAGACCATATATTTAAGACTTCCTTGAATTTATCTTTAGATGCTCAGTAGCCAATAAAATAATTCATAGAACATCCGAAGATAAAACTTAAGGAAGCCTTAAATATAAGACCTGACTATGGGTATATATTTCTTAATGGATATATATCATATTTCTTATCGTTTTATGGCGATCCACCACCAGAGGTCCAAGGAAAAGACTCGCGCCAATAAAGGAAAAGAAAAAATTATTAATTATTTGACTCTTATTAGTTCTTTACATAATTGTTGGTTTTATGTTAAGAGTCCTTGTATTCAAATTAATTATATATTTCTTTTCATTAAAATTCCTGAGTAGTCGCGGCCATGTTAGAATTGTGACATTAGAAGCGGGAAATGACACGTTAATTTATAGGTGCGTTCCGTTTCGTGCATAGTGCGCATGATATATCAATTGTCCTTGTTTAACATTTTGTGAGCAACAAAGATAAATGATGCATTATGCGCATCATACGTGAAACGGAACGCATACTATGTTACGTATCATTTGTAAATAAAGACAATTTAGATAAATTAAAATGACGAGATCGCTTTGAAAACTTGTAAGAATGGACGAAAACTATCCTTTTCTACTTGAGAGTCAGTAAATAGTTGTAAAAAGCACATAAAATGAGCCTCTGTACGGGCAAGAAACACATGATTTGACTGCTGTTGAAATGACTGAAAAATATGCTTTTACGTATAAAATTTCAAGACTTTAATTTTCGTTTATTTTTAGAACTTTCATAAGTATGATAAATCACATTTTCACAATTAAGCATAATAACGAAATAACACGTAACACAAAATTTCGTCGTTAAAGTGTCACTTCACGCCTTTTATCGTAGCTAGGCGCTATAACACCCACATGCACCCGTACATGCACGCACGCACGTACGTACGTAAGTACGAGCAAGTTTGTGTGCTCACCTTCGGCCAAAAATGAGCACATGGACATGGGCTCGTGTTTTTGTACATGGCTTACGGTTTCGTCAGCAACGTGGAGTTCTAGCTGAATATTCAGCTCTTTAAAAAATTTTTTTTTATTTTTTTTTTATTTTCTAAACTATCTTCATCATTTCACACACAAGTGTGTTTTATATATTAAATATAAAAAAATATATTATATCGTTTACTATATCATTTTACTTCAATATAACTAAAAAATACAAAATTAGACAAAAGTGATAAAATGAAGGCCTATATTATCACCTTTTCCTCTAATTATTATTTTAACGGCTATAATTTTACATCCACATATGCTTTTGTTTCCAATATTCTAATAATAAACAAATTTACCTCAATTAGATACGCTGGTTGTTCATTGTATACCTTCACAAATATTTCGCCGATTACTAATTCGTCAGTATGGACAGTATACTTAAAATCGCTAAAATCATGTTCAAAATTGCCGCTATTATTTAATCTCTCTTGTCGTTTCAATTCTAAATATTCATTTAATTCTGCTCTAGTCCCATTGTCCCAAATTAAATATGGATTTAAACAATTAGAATTCAATATCTTTAAAATTTCTTCGGGTTTATCTTTAATAAGCTGACGTGCTAAATAAGGAGTTAATAAACTTTCCAAAGCAGCAACTGTAACGGGATTAACAGGTGTTTCATTATCGCCTTTCATATAACCACCTAATCGAGCACAAGCGTGAACTGCCAATTTAGCCAAATTGTTGGCTACTTCCTGACGATTCTCATCCTGGTTTCTTTCTACTCCACCTTCTTCTAATGTATAATCATAATTGAACATAAAGAGCAACAGATCCCATAAAGCACCAGATTGTAATAACTGCATTTGTAATATGCTATCTATAGCGAGAGATGAAATACACTCTGTAGCAACTGCACATAATTTTGTTAAATGCTGCAAAAGAGAAGAGAGAAAAATAAAAATTGAGATAGAATAAACTAGAGTTGCGTATGCACACACACAATTTTCCTTGGCTATAAAACATCTTTGTACATACCTTAAAATGCAGTATTCTGCAAAGATCTTTTACAAGTTGCGGCAATTCGATAATCTTATCTCTGCATCCTTGAAATGATCCGGCAACAGCGAAACATCTAGTGATATACATGCAAACTTGCACTGCTACATCGGTGGATTTACTCGATCTGCTTAATACTGATACGCATCGCGTATACGCTTCCAACAATACGTCTAAACCACCCTCCCTTCGCAATTCTTCGGCGTTTAAAGCCGAACAATGTACCGTATGATACGCAAGTTCGCTTGCAGCTGCTAGCAATGGAGCAGATTTTGAAAATAACCGTTCGTCATCCGTTTCTAACTTAATAGTTTTGATTAATTGAGGATAACCAGCGTATTTGTACGGTCTAAGCTCATCTGTATATCTATGAAAAAGGATGCTCTGAGTACTTAAAATCAAAACAATATTGTCAGGATTAGGTCCAGTCGTTGACCAACAATTGCGACTGCATAGAAATTCGTATGCTTGGCTAACAGCTTCAAACTTATCCTAAAATCATTGTTATCGTTGTATACATATGGACGTACGGGTGTATTATACATGCATGTATGCACATGCACATGTATACAAGCTTACGCTTGACACACTGGTAAAAGCGATAAAATATGTATATCATATATATTTTATATATTATAATAAATCTAAATACAGACTTACCCTGCCTTCAGGATTTTTGTCAGGATGATATATTTGAGCCAATTTATAAAATGATTTCCTGACGATCGCTTCATCATGATGCTTTCCACTAGTTAAGCCAAGTTGCTTATAAGCTTCCTCCATAGTCATTAAAGGTGGTTTTTTCTCTACTTCTCTTTTCCACGCATCTAATACATCTTTTAGTAACTGCACCTATAATTTAATTATCATATTCGTGTAAATCTTTATATAATTAATGTCACATATAGAAGACAATGTTCATACAAACGATGCATAACACAACACAAAAGCAAGTCAATTCCTTTCAACTTACAGGTTCTGAGATAGGCCACTGCGGGAATTTAACAGTATCACAAAGATGTCTAAGATAGAATATCTGGCAGAACAATTCATTTTCCAATTGTGGATATCGTATAGCAGGAATAGCGATATATTGATACCTGGCCATGGTATGTCCTTGTAATTTGGGAGTAAAGTCTGCAATATGCGCAGCAATTTTCTCGATAAGCATTCGTCGCATTTCTGCATTCCAAATTGCTTCCGGTGTATCATAATCTCCAAGAAATATTTGCGCAAATTTCTCTGCTCCGTGATTCTCTAAATAACTTACCATTGCATCAGGCAATAGTTGACCGAGAATACTTTGTTGCATGATATCTGAACAAGTGTTCTAAAGAATATAATACAGAAATGTTACATGTATTTCTTTATTATTATTGTAATCATATTACAATTTTTATTATAAAAACAGATATAAACATATATACTCACATCATCGTTCCTAAAAGCTTGTTTAATGTGCGTCAATTGTAAGAACCTTGCAATCGGCAAGACATTAGAACCAGTGTACATTAAGATAAAATAAAATACGCCGGTAAGATAAATTTTTGACACATCAGGATTATCTCGCATCACTTCGCATAACAATGTAGCGACTCTTTCAACGAGGATTGGATCAAATGTTAACAAAAGCTGTACGATATGTGGCAGATATTGAAGATCTGATAGCAATCGCTTTACACGTGGCAAGGGCCTGATTACCGCGTCATCAGCATCTCTACTTGGGAAATATTCACACATCTTGATTAAAATGTTTAGTATTAAATTAGCTAGTTCACTTTCATTTATCACGGAAGTTCCCTTCGCAACAAGACTCCACTTTAATTGTGGCACTTGTGAAATTGTTTTCCATCCATCTAATCCCTGCGCCCAAACTTTTGTTTTATGAGTCACGTGATTTGAAGCATACAATTCTCTCAAATCTCTTAGACTCATCGGACCTTCGCGTTGATCACCATTATTGTAATACCATTCTTTTTCCATTCGTTCCTGCTGTGGACCTGCCTCTATCACATTGGTTTGCGTTGGTATGACAGCTCGGGAAGTATGTAAATGTGCCAATGTCAATAGATCGACTAAAGATCGTACGCCATTTTGATCCATTATATCTTTGACATTTCGCCTATGTAATATAAGTTTATTTATGAACATGACTAGCCTATCACGCTCCGTTCTGTCCGCACAACGCTCCAACATTCCCAGGATGTATTTTGTATCTGAGAATGGACCAATATCTTCATAATATCGACCATACACTATCGTCATTGCTTGCAAGCAAAGGCACTTCATTTCAATTTTCGCTGTCAATAAAAATCTGTGATATAAATCATTAAAAAATTCGTATCTGTAATTAAAAATAGAATACCGTTATGTAAATTATCTAAAATGTTGTATTACAAATTAATGAGACGTCGAGAGTTAATAATAAAAGAGTTGCATATTATTTTCTTGTAATGTTTTGTAAATGTTTCTTTTTCTTTTTTGCAGACGTTGTAATGCTTTCTCTGCAGTTGATTTCGTCAAAGTTTATTATACGTATGTGATATTTTTTTTATCGAGTATATACAGAATGCCTAACGTAACAGTGATCACGATTTTTCTGGTACTTTCGATGATTTGACAAAAATTATTTTGGATAAAAGTTAATCAATTGTCTCAGGCTACAAATTACAATACTAAAAATTTGAAAAATACTCTTTTTTTTTAGGAAAAGTCAAATAATATGTTAATTTAACTTAATAATATTTTATATCTTGACTTTAAATTTGTATAAAAATTTATTACCGACTCTTACTTGTCCTTGTTCTTATCATTTTATTTAAAAAAAAATTTTTGTATTTGTTACATTTTTACAGACATGAATTCTTGTTTTTTAAAACATATAATAATTATTGTATAACAAAAACTCCTGTACAATTCAAAAATAACAATGTTTAGTATTCTCATTTCGATTCTTAGCGCACTGTGCCGCCTGCGATCGTGCGGCCATCTCTCGGCCTCCTCGCTAGTTTCTTTACCTCGCCTCTCCCCGCAACCGCTTATTATCGTTCTTCCCCTGATCGTTTTCTGCAACCGCTTGCAAGATCAGATCGCGCATGCGCGACGACGACAAGACAGACATCTTTGACTGTTTCTGCCGGTTAACACGTTTCACCTCGTGTCCGCAAGCATTTTTGTACGTGAACGTGTAATAAAACTCTCGTGATGCAAGTAACGAGTCAATTCATTCCGGTAACAACAATAATCATCCACACGCATGCCAGTGCATACAGCGACGACTGTAGCGAGTACCGACAAGAAGAAAAGACAAGAGGGACACATGTCCTTCGGCCACGGTCCCGATCAAGGGGTATCGATCATGAAACTTTTTCCCTAGAATAAAAAGTGAAAAATGAAAATTTTTACCATTGAAATTAATGGAGAAATTTTTCACTTTTCATCCTAGGGGAAAAAGTTTCATGATCGATACCCAGCAAATTCCGGGGCTTCCGTGGAAGGCACAAGCCGCAAGCCACAACAGGCGCATACATCTTTTTTTGGTCCTTCGAGCCGGATACATCCGCAACGTTCAAAAAGTCGGTGCCACTGCGGTCATAGCTATTGAGGAGGTTAGCTGCCGACGAGCCACAAGTCTCACGGCAGTAAGAGACTGAGATAGACAATCACAGTCTTCCTTCGTTTCAAGAAATTCAGCCGCTTGACGAGTCACAAATCTCGCGGCGCGGTGGGAAGCTGAGCCACACAACTTCAGCCTTCTAACATTCAACGGGTCAGCAGATACTCACTGCGCACAAGGTTATTCTGCCAAGGAACTTGGCGCATTTTCATCATTGGGAAGCAGACACGATTCCAAAGGGCCGTCACATCGAGGGAGTCATCGTAACCTTCCCGCCTTCCGCCATCACGGCCAACAGCCTTGAGTGCTCGAAGCCACGTTTTGTTTACATTTCCACAACAGTGCGAATTGTTTGTAAGGTAAGGTTAGCTATTTCAAGGTCGGTGCCAATTAATCATTTCTATTTTCTTTCCCTTGACTATTCATTTTCATTGCCTTCGCCATGGCTAATAACGACATCGCTACATTGAAGCGCCGCCGCGCAATAATTATCGGTTCTTGTACTCGAGTCCGAACGTTTGCAGACTCAATCGAATCCGTAACGTCGTCCATTGCGGCTCAGCTTGAAGAATGCAAGACCAAATTAGACAGTTACTGGTCGAGCTACGACAAAGTGCAAACGAAGCTAGAATTTTGTGATGAAGCGGAAGCGAATCATAGCGTTACTTTCGAGGCCTTTTATTTTACATCCGCCAAACTGCGTGAGTTGCTCAATGTCGCGAGTTCGACGCGCTCGGTTGCCTCCCCTCCGCCGTCGCTTTTCCAGCGGCGTTGATCAATTTAACCCTTTGCGGCATACATTTTTCTTTACACGGAAAACAGCTGAAAATTGTTGCTCGGGGGTTTTCGGGGTCGTTGATTACGAATCTGAAGTCAGATTTTGAAAATTCAAAATGGCGGATCCAAGATGGCCGTCCGAAAAGCGAAAAATTACCCAAACTTGATGATACTGAGTTCTCGGGGGTTTTCGAGGTCGTTGATTACGAATCTGAAATCAGATTTTGAAAATTCAAAATGGTGGATCCAAGATGGCCGACGGAAATGTGAAAATTTACTTGATCGAGATAAAACTGGGTACTCTATGTATTCTGAATTTTGAATTTATAAGTCTGAGATCAGATTCATAATCAGCGACCCCGAAAACCATTATATACCAATTTTTATTGATAAATGAAAATATGTAGTGCGTGTACGATTACCTGACTGACATTACCCGCACTGTGTCAAGCGAAACTATGAGTAGAGCAGTCTAGGCTAACTTGGCGTTTTCGGTTTGGGGCAGTTTTCGAATTCGTAACAACTTATTCGTAACTCGAAATCAGCGACCCAAAAAACTCCCAAAAACCATATTTCATCAAAATTCAATCAATTTGGTAGTTTTCAGCCGCCATATTGGATCCGCCATTTTGAATTTTTCAAAACTGACTATATATTCGAAATCAGCGACCCCAAAAATCCCCGAGTGACAAGTTTCAAGCAAATTCAAGCAATTTAAAAAAATTCGTCCGCCATATTGGATCTGCCATTTTGAATTTTTAAAAACTGACACCGGATTCGTAATCAGCGACCCCAAAAACTCTCTACATATCATCTTCAGATTATTTTATACTGTTAATTAGTCAGAATTACATTTACTTAAAAAAAAAATCGTTTTTTTTTAAATTAATTTATTTATAACGTTCAATTAATTAACAATAACCTTTGTTTTCTTTTTTATTTCTATGAAGGGATGTTCTCTAATACATTTTATATGCTTTTTGTCATTAAAACTAATTAAATAGTGTTTCAAAAATGTAAAAAAGTGTACAGAAAAAGGTGACACTCAGGAGTGTCACTATGCCGCAAAGGGTTAAACATATTAAATTACCTAGATTAGATCTTCCGAAATTTTCCGGTAACTACGACGAGTGGTTTCCTTTTTTTGATACATTTCAGTCTGTCATACATGCAAACGCGTCATTAAATAATATTCAAAACCTTCAATATTTGAAGGCATCCGTCGTCGGCGACGCGGCTAAAATAATCAGCTCGCTGGAAATTTCGGGCACAAATTACGATGTCGCTTGGAATTTACTAAAAAATCGTTATGATAATAAACGTGTTATCGTACAAAGCCACGTAAAGGCAATTATGGATCTGCCGTCCATGGTCAAGGAAAACGTTGTCGAACTGCGTCAAATCGCGGACGGCGCAACAAGACACATTCAAGCCCTTCAGGCTTTGCAGCGTCCTACAGAACATTGGGACGACTTATTGGTTCATATATTGAGTAGCAAACTTGATACACTCACATCTCGCGAATGGCAGTTGTCGCTGACGAGCTCTCAATTGCCCACGCTAAAGTAATTCATTGATTTTATCGCTCACAAATGCCAAACTCTTGAAACTAACGGCAATCCAACTACGCGAGCACAAGCGCAGCCCGGCGTGAAGCGTCAATCTTGTCTCGCAACAGTGAAGACAAAGTGCGTATTTTGCAAGGGCGAACACTTGGTATATCATTGCCAAAATTTCTTAAAATTACCGGTGCCGCAAAGAATTTCAGAAATTCGAAAGCGTAACATTTGCGTTAATTGCCTGCGATCCACTGATCACGCCTCAAACAAATGTCCATCGGGCAGCTGTAAAAGTTGCAACTTGAAACATAATTCATTGCTTCATCTTTCCACAGCTACTTCTACGAAGAACGATACTTCCGAGTCTCATGACTCTTCCGCCGGTGATAAGGGAGGAGGGACTGCGCCTACGAGTTCTCCTACCGCCCTCGTCACAAGCAGTATAAATTCACCGGACCACAACTGCATTATGCTATCCATTGCCGTCGTATTTGCGCATGACAACAAGGGCGCTCTTAAATCTTGTCGCGTGCTTTTGGATAGCGGCTCACAAGCCAATTTCATTTCTCAGCACTTTTTACAAACGCTCGGTCTCAAGACACGTGCTTCGGATGTTTCCATTTTTGGAATAAATAAAACGGCCATCAGATCGTTTCAAACTGCTGAAGTGCGACTACAGTCGCGCATAAATCCTTTCAATATTGTTAGATTGCATTGTCACTGATCATGTGACTGACAGCTTCCAGCTTTTACTATCAAGAGAAGCAACGTTTAAATTCCACAAAATATTCAATTGGCTGATCCTCAGTTCAATGTCTCGTCGGAGATCGATCTTTTAATTGGCGCGGACCATTTTTGGCATTTACTCTGCGTGGGGCAAATCAAATCTTCGCCAATTCAGCCTATCCTCCAGAAAACGCGTTTCGGGTGGATTCTGGCTGGACGATTTAACTATACATACATCCGCCTCTAAGCAAACCGTCCAATCTTTTCACACTTCAATTTCTAACGCGCAATTACAAGACCAGCTATCACAGTTTTGACAAATCGAGGACATAACTCAGACCTCGGACAATCGCAGTCTTGAGGAGAATCTTTGCGAGCAGCATTTTCTGCAAAACTTATCTCGGGACGCGCGAGGCAGATTAATCGTGAAGCTTCCGTTCAAGGAACTTGATTCCATCGCTCTCGGTGATTCAAGAGGAGTCGCTCTAAAACGATTATATGCTGTCGAAAGACGATTCAATCGCAATCCTGATCTAAAAACTCAGTACACAAGTTTCATAGACGAATACTTGGCTCTAGGTCACATGAGGTTAATTGACGAGCTATCCGATGACAGTTCGGAATCATTTTACCTCCCACATCATGTGTTTTTAAATCTAGCCGAGG